CCAAGTTCCTTCTGTCCTGGACTCACAACCGGTTTCTTAAATGCCTTTCTCTTGTAGCCCTCCCTACGCTCAAGTATCACCTTCCACAACTACTCCAACACCTTCCACCCTCACCCAGCCTCCGGTGTTCTCCATCACCGCACCCTCTTTATGTTTCATATCATATAGTACAATGTCATATTATTATTTTCACATTTCTTATTACGTGATAAGGTGCTATGATGTGTGAATTTCTCCTGTAGTTTCATTTAGGAATTCGTTTTTTAGCAAAATGGGTTTTTAATACTTGATTTTTTGTGTAAGAATACTTGACATGAGCCCTAACTGGTTTGGCTCAGTGGTTGAGCATCAGCCTGCAGACTGAAGGGTCCTGGGTTTGATTCCGGTCAGGGCACATGCCCTGGTTGTGAGCTCAATCCCCAGTAGGGGGAGTGCAGGAGGCAGCCGATCAATGATTCTCTCTCATCATTGATGTTTCTATCTCTCTCTCCCTCTCCCTTCCTCTCTGAAATCAATAAAAATATATTTTTTAAAAAAGAAGAATACTTGACATGAGATGTACCCTGTTAACAAATTTGTAAGTGTACAATACATTATTGTTCACTTGGGTGTAATGTTGTACAGAAGATCTCTAAGATGTATTCATCTTGTTTAACTGAAGCTATATGCCCATTGACCAGCAACTCCTCCATTTCCCACACCCCCAGCCCCTGGCAACCACCATTCTACCACCTCATTCTAGGAGTTTGACTATTTTAGATTCCTCATATAAGTGGAATCATGACAGTATTTGTCTTTCTGTGACTGGCTTAATTCATGTAGCATATGTCCTTAAGTTTCATTCATGTTAGGACATATTACAGAGTTTCCTTATTTTTTTTAAGGCTAAATAACACTTCATTGTATGTATGTTCCACATTCTAGATTTTTTTATCCATTCATGGACGTTTAGCTTGTTTCCACATCTTGGCTTTGTCTTTGTTTGTTTGTTTGTTTGTTTGTTTGTTTTGAGCTTTACTCTTGTTATTTAATTATTTTCTTTGGCTTTGTGTTAACAGTTGCAATGAACATGGGAGTGCTCATGTCTCTTCAATATCCTGATTTCAATTCTTTTGGATAAATGCCCCAAAGTGGAATTGGTGGATCATATGGTAGCTCCATTTTTTATTTTTAAAGAACCTCCATACTGCTTTCCATAGTAGTGACACCATTTTGTATTCCCACTAGTAGTGCACACAGGTTCCACTTCCTCACATCCTTGCCAACATTGTTGTCTTCTGTTTGATGTTGTGTTTTTTAGTTATTCAGTTATTAACTCTATCGCCCCTGATGAGAACATAGTCACCATGTGACAGGGCCTTTGTCTATGTTCTTTACTCTCTAATCCCAGTGCCTATAACAGTGCCCGACACGGGAGGCTTTCAGTAATGACTGTGTTGAATGGAGAGCAAGCAAGGTGGTGGGCCAACTATATCAGGATGAGAGCCCTGATGACAAGGGAATGAGCGAGTTCCCATTTCGTCCTCCTCACTGTTCCCATTTTTAGTGTGTGTATCCTATTTTAGAAAGGAGAGCTGGCCAAGTGACTCAAACAAGGCCTCCCATGTAGGCAGGTACCATGCTGAAGGCACCATCATGCAGAGTCCAGCCCTCAGCTTTCTCAAGTCCATCAGGAAACAAATCTTTCAGTCAATGTGTTTATAATATAGTACAGAGCTGGCATTCAGAGCCCTGACACTAACCCCAGCCGAGGCCATTAATTATTAGCTGTGTGGCTTAAGGTAAACCACCTCCTTTTTAAGGAGCCATGGTTTCCTCACCTTACAATTAGGGGTTGGGACTGGAAGGTGTCTGAGCAACCTCCCGGATCTGTGGTTCTTAAGCAATTAGTGCCAGTGACTCATTCACCTGTGAGCTTTACCTAGAGCCTGGGTGGGTCCCCTAAGACACTTCCTCCTGCCGGCAAGTCAACTGTGGAGATGAAATTAAAGCTGCAAGGAGAGCTTGATGAGCATAACATTTAGAACTCAAGAAGCTAACTGTTGTCAAGGAGTATTTCTATTAAGCTATGAGAAGTGACATGATGAATTCTGCTCAAAATCCTTCTGTGCCCAGAAAGAGAATTAATATTGAAAGACTGGACACAAAACCTACATCCAAAGCACGGCATCCTCCAGGAATGGGAACACTGGACCAGAAGCATGGCTTCTTCGGCTATTCTTTTTCTTCAACCTTTTATCTCCATCCAGTGTTTTGGTCCCAATGATTAGCTTTCAACTGTCTTTAATTTACTCATACCCATCTTTTATTTATTTGAGCCAAACTGATGACATAGGCTAGGGAGCAAGATCTCAAATGCGCCTATGAAAGATATTGATATAAATATCAGAACTATATTTTCCAAACTAAAAATAATCTTACAAAGGGAATGTTTTTATGACAATATTAGGAAAGAATTTTCAAATTGGGACTCTCCTGAAATCATACATTTGGTAAAAGATCCTTTCAAAGTGCAAGAAAGACCAATAGATTTCAAAGTAATGGTATAGTTAGCACATTGGTATAATTTCAGACTCCAACAAACCCTAAGAAACTATGACTAATATCCAAGAGAGATAGCCCCACTTATCTGAAAGGCTATTAAAATATTCCTCCCTTTACTAATAACATATGTGTGTGAGGCGAGACTTTCCTCAATACTTCAACCAAGATAGCAGATTGCAATAGATTGAATGCAGAAGCAGAGATGAGATTCTATCTGGGTTAAGGTAGACATTAGAGATTTGCAAAAATTTTAAAAAATGCTACTCTTCTCACTAATTTTTTTTTTGGTTTTATAAAATCTATTTTTCACAGAAATTTATGTTAACATAATTATATTTATTATGAAGTGAATCGATGGATTTTTAAAAAAATTGTTTTAATTTTTAATATAGAACATATCAATAGATAGAACCCACATAAATATCTCTTCAGAGCGTAAAAAAGTTCTAACACCAGTAGCTGGGAGGCGCTGCCTGGGAGCGAGCCCTGTACTTCTGCACAAAGTTTACGGTCAGCCCTGAGGTGTCTCACCTTCAAACAGAAAAGGACACATGAAGATCCCGGATATTTGGCGAGAGCCTCGAACATGAATGACAGAAGCAAACGTGATCAGAAAGAAAGGAGCTCGGCCGTAACCAAGGAGCAGGAACAAAACGTCCAAAATAGTAACGACATCATCACCCTGGAGATCAAAGGTTTTACCTCCTTAAATAAGAACAGACACATAGGAAGAGCTTTCTTTAAAAAAGAAAAAAATATCTGAAATGGTATCTAAGAAAAAGGTTTCCAGCACAGGCGCTGGGTGAAGGGCGTCGTCAGGATGGTGTTGGGGAGAGAACCCCGCAGACTCAGAGGGCCGCCTTTTCAGGTGGGAGCGGGAGGACAGAGGGACCAGGAGGTGGTCACTAGAAAAGAATGCACCAATAGATGACCTGATGTTTGCACACAGTGAGAGGAGAGTTACACTCTGGCGAAAAGTTTAAAGATAAATTAGTGGTGTGTACTTAGATACAAAGGAGAGAGAGAGAGAGAGAGAGAGAGAATTTTAACTCCAGGGGAAACATGGTTATATAAGAAAGGAAATGTAATTATGGTGTCCTGCAAGGCTCATGAGAATAATATTTATAATGCAATAATACCTAAAAATGTAAGCTCTGACTTTAATCAAATTTCATAACAGAACTCATTGAGAAGATGGGAGGTGGGCGGGTTTAGGGAAATTCAGAAGTAAATACCACGCAAAACTGAAAATAATGAAAAGGTGGCATCAGCATGTTTAGAAACATGGGTACATGCAGCAGACACGGCTACAGCGGAACATGCTTCTAAATAGTGGCAATCGAAGGTGGGAAACAGAATGCAAGGCTATTTAAGTTATTAAACATGTAGTGCACAGCTAATTAAACACTCAAGATAGTAAAATATGTATTAATACAGCAGTGCAATATGGAAATGCGTTAACATTTACACTGAGAATGCCCTTTGACCCAGCTATTCCATTTGTAGAATTTTATCCAACTATGCGAAATTAGTTAAATGAATTATGCTATTTTTACCCAATGAAATATGCTGTTACTTCAAATAAGGAATTGTTTAAAAAATAATATAGATTTACATCTAAGAAAAGATCTTTCCTTCCCTAGCATATCTTTCCTCTAGAGCACAACCTTTGTTTAAAATTTTATATTTGTTAGTTTGATAGAATGTCCGACTCCTCCAATGGATTCCAAGCTCCGGAGACCCGGGCCAGAGACCGGCTCTGTTTGCTCACTAATGTATTTGCTCTTGGTGCTTGCACAGTCCCTGGTGCGTGGAACGCTGTTTGATGAATGAATGAGTGTGTGTGAGCACCCATGGCGACAGTGAGAAACACCTGGAAGACGTAAATGTTGGTCAGAGCTTATCTCTGAGTGGGAGAGTTACAGATCAGACCAAAGTTTAAATTCCTGTCCCTTCATGACCTTGGAAAGCCCCTTATCTGAGCCTTGGATATAATGACAATAGGTCCTCAGTTATCCAATTAAATGATGCCTTGTAAAGGCCATATAAATGTTTAAACCCTAAGGCAGTGGTTCTCAACCTTCCTAATGCCTCGACCCTTTAATACAGTTCCTCATGTTGTGGTGACCCCCAACCATAAAATTATTTTCGTTGCTACTTCATAACTGTAATTTTGCTACTGTTATGAATCATAATGTAAATATCTGATATGCAGGATGTATTTTCATTGTTACAAATTGAACATAATTAAAGCATAGTGATTAATCACAAAAACAATATGTAATTCTATATGTGTTTTCCGATGGTCTTAGGCGACCCCTGTGAAAGGGTTGTTCGACCCCCAAAGGGGGCGTGACCCACAGGTTGAGAACCGCTGGCCTAAGGTATATAAAATGCCCTCAACCATAAAACTACAATCTAATATTTCCTTTTTTGTTTGTTTGTTTGTTTATTAGTGGACTTTTGCAAGATTTGGAAAACTGTGAAAATGATCCTGTGGCCATAGCAGAATGTTTTGTGTCCAAGGTAAGCAGGGTTCGTTTTTCTGGGCCAACAACACAGATACAGAGCACAAATTGTTTTCATTTTACCATTAAAATGACTTGTTTGTTTCATGGTGGGTGAAGTTAGCCACCAATCTCACTCTGGCTTTTTTTTTTTTTTTTTTTTTACCAGCAAGGGGAAAAATAGACTTTCCCCAATAAGTTAGGAAATATTAATAACTTAGTAGTTGTCCTGGAATTTGTATAGCAATTGTATGATGTTACTCGGCTTTCATAGAGAAAATCTTTAAATTTGGGGAAATTAGGGAATAGAAGAATGTTAGAAAAATAAATAAATTTAAAATACTACCAGACCAATTAGACTATAAATATTTTATGTATAATATATAGGGCACTAGCCGAGGCTATATAATTATCATTTGGGGGCTAAATAGAAGCAGAATTAATCTCTGACATCGTAACAATGTATTCTTATTTTCCTACATTTTTTCTTAACCTGCATTGATGGTTTAGGAAAACACAAGGAAAGGCATTTGACTTTTAAAGCTTAAATGGCAGTTGGTGCGTACTCTGTGCCCAGAGAGGAGATAGAATTCTGAAACATACAAGGCAACCCTTTCCAACATTATTTTCTGGACGTACATATAGAAGCCGATCATAAGTGTCTCTGAAAAATTCAACAGCTTTTGTTTGGAAAACCTCTAGCAGAAATGGTTTTGCCGCAAAACCTTGTGTGATTTCTGCAGTTGTGGTTTCACAGGTACAAAGGGTTAAGCAAAGCTCAGTGCTTTGGGATCAACCAAGAATTAGCACCTCTTCTCAAGCTCCAGAGTCTAAGGCAAGTCCAGTGGAAACTCGGAGGTGTCCCCCCAGCCTGACCCAGCTCCGCGATTGCCCCACAGGGTCATGTGCGAGCGACGGCTGCAGATCCATCCAGTGGCTTTGGGCCCAAGCATAGCACTCTGGGCTGTACTGCACTGTGGTTCCTTAAAGGCAGCTGACGGCCTGGTACATAAAACACTCCTGACTTTGTGGGTGGGTGTGGGTGTGGGCGTGTTAACTTGTGAAATGTTTGTGCACACATGGCTGCATACAGTTCTTTTCACAAGTTGCCTGTGTCGTAATTCATTCTCCTGAAGGGTGGGAATCGGAAAAAGAGAAGGAAAATGAAAGCAGGAGAAATGGGTCAAAAGATACGCCAAGTATATCAAAGGAGATATGTTAAAGTAACCGCAGCACATAAACAACACCGAGGCTTTTGGAGACGTTTGGGCTTTTACTGGTAACTGTAATCACAAGTTGATTAAAGACGGTCCAGCATATGCTTAGCTCCGGCTTAATTATTCACATAAAAGTCTGTTTATGGGCCACGTTGCCAACTCCCAAATCTCATTTTTCATTGTAATAGTGCCAGGTTTAATTAGAAGACCGACTCGGGCAGTCCACACGCTCACATGTGAGCAGGGAACTGTGCGGGGGTGTTGGGTCCTGGCACGACCTGCCCTTCACTCAGCACCCTGACATTTAGAAGATGCTGCGCTTTCTGAAGCCCAAGCAGCTGCTCAGCTCCGCGAGGACGGAAAATTGCTTTAATTGAGAGGCCATTAATGAAAGAGGCAAAGCTGGCGGTTGACTTGGGCTTTCATCTGAAGCACTGGGGCCTGCACAGATTCACCTTTGACCTCGCGTTTGTGGTCTGAGTGGGTTACAGAAATCCCTACTGACAACCGGAGAGCCGTGCGCAGGTCTCAGCTGCTGCTCCTCGCAGAGCAGAGTGCAGAGGCCACTCTCCCGAGGGACAGAGATGAAGGTCCCTCCCGGGCAGGCCAGAGTGCTATGCTTGGGTCCAAAGCCACTGGATGGATCTGCTGCCGTCGCACAGGACCCCATGGGGCAAGCGCGGAGCCAGGTCAGGCTGGGGGGATACCCCGAGTTCCCATTGGACTTGCCTTAGACTCTAGAGCAGCGGTCCTCAAACTTTTTAAACAGGGGGCCAGTTCACTGTCCCTCAGACCGTTGGAGGGCCGGACTATAGTTTTTAAAAAAACTATGAACAAATTCCTATGCACACTGCCCGCCCCCCTTGCCCCTGCCTGAGCATTCCTCTGCTCGCGGGACTCTAGAAACACCCAGAGAAGACTTACCTCCATTTCCTGCCTTTACCTCCACCCTCTTTTCCATCCCTTATCTTGACTGTCACCTGGGCTGACCCTGGGTTACATTTAGCAAGGAGACAGAGTTTGTCTTCAGAGATCCAATGCCCCATCAGCCTCCTCCTCTCCCTTGATGGGTGGCCTTCCTCCATCACTGCCTTTCTCCCTCCAGTGCCCAGACATGCACACATGTGTGCACACCCCCCCCCCACACACACACACACACTTACTGAACGTATCCCCAGGAAATGCTGGTATCCCATATTCGTATCAGGCCAATGTCACCTTACCCATGTGCTCTTTACAAATGAAATCTTTCTCATTGTGTCCAGGGAAACTTTATTAAATAAAAAATTTTAAATCTAATCCTACTTGAGTTTATCAGGAAGGATTCTAAATAAAAATTCCTTTTAAATCAGAAAATGTATTTAAACCATTGAAGTTCTAAAAAGTAAAATAAAAGGCACTATGGAGAATAATTCATTGGCCTTGAATTGTTTATTCTGACTCACAATCAAAAATTTAAAAACCTAGCTTCTGCCCCCTTCCCCACCCATCTGCAAACCCCTTTCCCTCAGCCATCTAGGGAAACATTTGTCAAGGACCTTGAAATTGACCAAAAAGGTTATTGGGTGCCTACAGTAGAAAACCTCCCATTGCCTTCAATGGAAAAAAGCTTAAGGACGGCTCCTTGGAGGAAATAAAGCCTTAGTTCAGTGTCAAAGGATGCGCAGTGGCTCTCCAGTGAAAAAAGTGGGAAGACAGTGGGCAGACACACACAGCTCCTTTCATTGGCTTTGAATTAAATTACAAGTCTGTCAATTACAGATCACGGATAGCAATAAAGGATCTTGGCCACAGACATGCCAATGGATACTGTCCCGTAGAGAGACAGTTGATTTCCTTACTCACCGATCTCTACAGAAAAAGCCACTTTTGTGTCTTTTGTAAACTTATTTCAGCATTCCTCACTGATCAAAGTGTGATACTTTTATTTCTTCTTTGACCCAGTTGTAATATCTTACCACCTTCCTCATTAATTAAGAGGTAAAATAAAATCTTTGACAGTGTTCATGTTATATGTGTGTGAAAGTCATGGTTCTACCTTTTAAAACAATTATCCTTTAAGAGCAAGAAGTATTGGTTGAATATTTCCCCATATTTGATTGAATGACTAAACATCTGAAAGATTAAGAAATACTAGGGAGCGTGGAATATGACCATAGCAAAAGGCAAGAAACCCACATTGGTTAGTCAGACATACTGCACTGAGGCATTGCTAACATGCCAGATCTGTACAGATGGGAAGACTTGGGTCCAGCTGTCAGATAATTTCCAGCTTAGCAGAGGAGAGGGGATTCAGTGGTTCAACAAGTATATCCCGGATGAGCACAATATGGCGCCTATGCTGCAGGAACTCACAGCCGGGAGTGGGAGATAGACAGGTACACGGAACATGTCACTATCCTTTGGGAAATGCCACAAGAAAGGTAAGTATTGGATTTTGTGGAAGCCCAGAGCAGGAGCGGTTGGCTCAGCCCAAAAGCTTAAGGAAGGCGCCTTGGAGGAAATAAAGCCTTAGTTCAATGTCAAAGGAGGCGCAGTGGCTCTCCGGTGAAGATGGTGGGGAAGACAGTGGGCAGACATAACTGCAGACAAGCCGCTGCTCTCTCATACCCTGCACATGCTTCTCGCGTGACATTTAAATCACCCACTTCTGTTTCTCTCCCACACTGCAAATCCACCGAAGGACTGTGAGCACCGGGCAGAAACCTTCTGTCCCCCCTCTTCCTTTTTCCCCCTCTTCAAATTTCCCTAACACGGCAGATGCTTGATGAGTGTTTATTGAACTCAAGTGCATGTGGATTCTAGATATGACACGAAGTGGATAAAAAGGCGCAGATGTTTGCCACGAGGGCTCAGGAGGCGGGCTCATGTTGTTGGGGAAACAGATTTAAAGGCATGTGTGCTGTTTATTTGTATTGTTTTTAAGTGGCTGATGATGTCTCTGCTTTTTTGCCTATGAAAGTCTCTTTTGTTGCCTTACAGAGTGAAGATTTCCACATTTACACCCAGTATTGCACGAACTACCCGAGGTAGGCTGTGGGGGTGCTCGGCCATGTTTTCCTTCGCTTTCAGATCGTCTCGAGTCAGTCAGTCCAGTGGATGTTGGTGTCGGGCGTTATGTGGCTGGCACTGTGCCGAATGCTTTGGGAAAAGTGGAAAACCCGCTGAGCCCGGATCACAGGGGTGCCCCACGCTGGTCCGTTCAGGCTTTGGGCTCCCAGGAGAGCTGCTGTAGGGAAGATCATGAAAGACCCTCCAAGAGACCAAAAAGGTTGCGAGGTGTCCTTCCGTGGAAAACCAAATAAACCCGTGTCTTTTGCTAGACGTCTTGTCTAGTAACTCTTTTGTATGTGTGCCAGGTTCCTAGAAATCTCCGAAGGACTACCACTGAGTGTATATAATCTGGCTGTTTTTTGCTGTCAGTTCTATGAACTAGGTAAGTTTTATGGAGTTCAGAGAAAGGAAAGATCATCAGTTTAGGAGAGAAGAGAGGACTCACCACCTCACCTGGATCACTGCCTCTGCGTTGCTTACTCGGGGAGCGCTGGCTGGGCCATTTAGGGAGCACCCCCTAGACCAGTGATGGCGAACCTATGACACGCGTGTCGGAGGTGACATGCGAACTCTTTTTTTTGGTTGATTTTTCTTTGTTAAATGGCATTTAAATATATAAAATAAATGTCAAAAATATAAGTCTTTGTTTTACTATGGTTGCAAATATCAAAAAATTTATTTATGTGACACGGCACCAGAGTTAAGTTAGGGTTTTTCAAAATGCTGACATGCCAAGCTCAAAAGGTTCGCCATCACTGCCCCAGACCATCTGTTGACCATTTCAGTAAGGCCTAAGACCATGGGTCACACTGACTGAATTTCCTTTTTGTGCAAAAGACACTTATTGAGCACTGACTGGTTTCTAATCACTGTGCATAATGCTGTAAATAGAAATGTTGCTGAATTTAACTTTCACAGCGGCCCAGAGATATCCAGGGATTAAAACAAAGCAGATCAGCCATCACAGTGTGGGCCCACAATAGGTCCTCAGCCTGTGCCAGTTCACCACCAGCTGCCCCATCCCCCTGCATGGGTGAAATAGGGAGGCTCCAATGGGTCTATTGATTTTACAAGGGTCACATAGTTCGTGAGTGGCCCCAAGAGGATTCTCTAACCTCACGGCTCATGCCACTACATCTGGAACTTTCTGAACACCCACACCTACCCCCATGCCTTTTGATGGTCAATTTTCCCACATGATCCTTGAGTTGTTATACCAGGGGCCAGACAGGAAGGTGAGAGCCAAGGAGGTTTTATACGCTCTGTGGCTGTGGTAGAGACTTGTCCCTGAGAGTCATGTGGGTGGTGGGCCCCACCTGGAAGAGCAGCCAGCAGACTGAGCCCCTAATGCTGCTACAGTAGGAAGAACGAATGGGGCCCCTGCTCCAGTGGCCCTGGAAAGCCAGTGTGGAGTAAAAGGATATCGGGCTGTGGTGATTTATTTGGTGGGTGGCCAACCATACTTTTCCCAGGTTTCCCTAAAAACCAAACCAAGCAAACAATTACCTACAGATTGGCACCTTTATCACACATGCATATCTGTAGACCCACCCACAGTTCACACAGTTTCACTTAAGCAATGTTCTCTCCTAGAGTTTCCACATCTATGCTGAGGGTATCAGGAAACTGTAGGATGCCCCAGCTAAATCCATGGTGCTTAGGGTGAAAGCCAGCATTGTCCCACACCCTCATTCAGAGAAATCACAGGATCAACTTCTCCAAACTTCCTCCTGAGGGAAAGGAAAAGCCACCCAAACTGTAGAACCAATAGAGCTCTGGACCCAATGATGGGGCTCAGGGGCACTGGGTGTGTGTGGGGGGGGGGGGGGCTTTTTGGGAGATTCCTTCTGTATAAATCTCATTCAAACATGTCATTTGGAGAAAACTTCTGAATTTGTAATTTGGGGAGTTTATATATTAGGATTTTTTTGACTTAGTAATAAGAAAGGAGAGTACAAAACTAAGGCTTCTTTCTTCAGGGTCAAGGGAAAGGCAGAATCATTGGTGCCGGAACGTTTTTAAGGTCTGTCACTCATGGAGCGTGGTCTCCAGCTCAGTGCACCTCGATAAGAAATAGGAGCTATATCCCTCGCCTCAGGCAGTTTCTAGTCTTCTGAGGGTCAGAACCCAGTTGAATGCAGTAGTGGAAGAGCGAGTTAGAGATCAAATTAATGAACACAAATGAATACAATGCAAACTCAGTAACGTGCAATAGAAACAAAATATACTGATATGAAGAGGTAGCACATCCCAGTGAGCTGAGTTAGGGACACTTGGGGGAAGTGATTTCTTATTTTGAAGAAAACAATGTGTTAGCGATGCCTAAAAGACATTCTCAGAAGAAAAATTTTAAAGGTATTCTCAGTGAGGCAGACACATCCAGTTCTTGCCCGATTCTGTGTTTTCATCTTCATAGAAGTTTTCCACTCATCCCCTTGTCTCCTCTCGTCCCCTTGTCTCCAGTCAGTTTGCTCCTAAGGCCCGAGCTTCCCTTTCCTGTCTTAAGCCAAGAGTGCCAGGTGTTTTGGCCCATCTGACAACTTTTCTTCCCCTCGGATCCAAGGCTGGTGATATTAAATGTCACCAGCACCTCTTGACAGATGTCCACCTTCTTCATACCAGTCACACCCCAGTGATTTCCCTGGGAAGAGGCGCGGGCCTCCCTCTCTCCCCCAGGGCTGCCCGGACACAGTTGGGTGATTGTCCTCAGATGTCCCCCTGTGCCCTGGAGCGCAGGCTGCTCACGAGTTCCTTACCCAAGTTCCTTACCCGTGGACGAGAGCTCCAGCCTTCAGATGGCCAATGGCCACTGAGCAGCTGATTCTGACTCTCAGGAGCCTGATAAAAGTCCCACAGTTACATGATGAAAAGAGTTTTGGAAATCTCAATTTAGGGGGGAAATAAACCTATCTGAATAGATATGTGTCAGAGCAGATGGCTCCAAAGGGATCCTAATAGCTTCATGGGGAGACCTGCATTTCCAAGGAGTTCTGTTTTGTTGTTTGGCTCTGTCTGATTTTCTAAATTAATCCTGAAAACAGATTACTGACTTGGGGAGAAATTACTTCCACCTGCTTCCTTCTAAGTTATGAGACCTAATATTTTAATTTGTGTGTGTGTGTGTGTGTGTGTGTGTGTGTGTGTGTGTGAGTGTGTGTGACTTATTTATGAGATTTGAGCATTGTTTCAACCATTCCCCTGGGATACTTGGGAGATATATATATATATATATATATATATATATATATATATATATATATATATATTTTAATTGATTTCAGAGAGGAAGGGAGAGGGAGGGAGAGATAGAAACATCAATGATGAGAGAGAATCATTGAAGGAATCATTGATCAGCTGCCTCCTGCCACGACCCCCACTAGAGATCGAGCCTGTAACTCGGTCATATGCCCTGTCTGGGAATCGAACCATGACCTCCTGGTTCATAGGCCGATGCTCAACCACTGAACCACGAAGGCCGGGCTGGGAGCCATCCTTATTACCGTTGGGGGAGCTGGGATGGAGAAGGCATCCTGACCCTCTTTTCTAATACATCCCTGAGCGGCACTCCTTACGGAGCAAGGGTATCCAGCTGTTTCAGAAGTGTCTTTAGAGTAAGCAGAGCCACATGGAGGCGCAAAGAGGGGTCTGTTCAAAGATGCTCAAAGGGAAGTTGACCTGCGGGACCAGGTCTCCGAAGACTTGCACTTAATGCCATGCAGTCTGTGCATCACACAAAGGCGACCAGCAGAGGGGCGACAATGTCCACCATGGGCTGGACTGCGGGGGGAGGGGCTCCTCTTTCTCAGCACAGAGGTGCCCCCTCCTTGCCCTCTAACCTGTGGAAACTGAATACAGATGTGTGGTTTGAGCAGATGGGGTTCAATTGCTAAGCCATGTGTCCTCGTAGGGGCCAAATCCCTGGAAGGAAGGAGCTGCTGCTTAGAGGCATGTGTCTATGGGTGGCCATCGCTGTTGGGGTGTCTTTCTCTAACTCACCCTCCCAGAGGGACAGCTTTGTCTCACTTACCCAGAGGCCTTCTTGTCTAGCTATGGCTCTGTGGCTTCCCTGCCGTGTAAAACTTGAAGACCCGTGTTAAGCGTTACAATTTAGATAAAAATCTTTCCTCCTCTTCTTGCAGATCTGTGGCTGTGCTAACTGAGTGCATGAGGAACAAGACCCTGGCCAAGTTCTTCAGGGAACGTCAGGAAACTCTGAAACACTCACTGCCTCTGGGGTCCTATCTCTTGAAACCAGTTCAGCGGATTCTCAAGTATCACCTCCTTTTGCATGTAAGTTTCGGCCTGCACTCGAGTTCGTCCCAGAGGATGGGGATTTGTGTGTGTGTGTTAGATTTAGGGGGAAAACATCAGAAAAGGCTGGGGACATATGGAAACGTTTTCCACACTCATACTTTACAACTGACTAATCTGCTTTGAGGAATTAGAGATATTTATGTTCGAGGCCTGCCACCCCATTGACAGCAGCTCAGTACAGATTCATTGCAGTTCTGATCTGCCTGGGCTCAGGAGCACCTCACGCTGGCAGTGACGGTTCCAGGCAGGGAGCGATCATCATAATGAAAAGCAGGTTTCTTGCATTTTATTTTACTTCCTGGAGCCCAGATTCAGTAGGCAGTGGGGAGGGAGAGCAATTGGTCTTAGATCGGCTTTTGTATGAGCCAGGAGCAGGGGCTGAAAGGAGAGAAGACAGGTGAGCGGTGTGATGAACGATCTTTGAGCTGGCCTTAGCATCGCCTCAGGGTATCTTTTCTTTACATCATTTCCCATGATTTGGACAAAATTCAAGGAAGCTTTAGAAACAAAGGTAGACGTAGCACTCATATTCTCATTTCTTATCTATGATAAAAATGGACAAAAGTTGTGTTGAAAGTAACTTTTGTGCTGTAGGTAGAATTGGATTGCCGTGCAATAGGAGAAAGACAGTGTGCCCAGTGGTTAGGGGCTGGCTCGGGGGCGAGACTGCCTGGGTTCCCATCCTATACATCGCCCATGTGCACTGTGGCTCACAGGCAATCAGTAAAAATAAATTATTATTGGTATCGTATTTTTTTTGTCCTACATTAAAATTTTTTCTTAGGAAGATTTTAATTCAGAGTTCCTCTCCATATCAACATGTCTGCAATTTGTATGTATCTCTTTTTAAGTGATTCCAGGTTTCTAACTTGGATAATCATTCCAGGCTTGCTCAATTCACACACCTAACATTTTAAGAACCCGTATGTTCCTTCTTTACCAGGACTGCCTCAATTTAGTCTGTTTGCCTGGGTGGCTCATCTTTGAAGAATATCGTGTCCTGTGAAGCCACATCAGGGAAAGTACTTTAATTGTCAAATTGATGCTAACTTCTTAGATTAGTGGGATTTCAACATGTGAATTTGGGGGGAGACACAGACATTCAGTCTATAACAGCTGGTAATGAATAAAAAAGGGAAGAACAGTGGTTAGATTATTTGAACACTAACTTCTGGTTGCCTTTGAAGTATTTTTTGCTTTTATTGTTTATTTAGAGAGTGTTCTTTCTGTGTCATTCACATCACTTCAAAGTTGTGTAGCCATCCGTGAAGATCCCACAAGAATACGCACTGTACTCCGGAGACTGTTGTTGATGAACAGATTGCCCCTTGGACTAAAAGAAGAAATTAATTTGTTGTTGTTTTTTTTAACTTCGCTGTTGATGTTGAGCTTACCTGGGAGTTGTTAGTTTGGAGATACAGTTTTAAAGGACCTTTCTGAGTCTGGGAGGGAAATATAAAGCCCTTTCCAGTTTCTAACTAGATGGAAAACTTAAATGGTCAGTAAAAGTAGAGATTTATGAAATATGACTATAAAATAATCTTTATAAGTTATACCATAAGATTCAACCTCCACCCATTAGCTTAATGAATATGCATGATGAATGTCATGGAAACGATCTAATGGACTATACTGTCTTCCTATGTTTTACATATTTATATAGGGCTACTGTTATTTTTGTTTTAAGAAGATACAGCTTAATGTAATGAGCCTTTATTGGCCACCCAGCTCTCTGGTAGGCCTTGTTGAGAAGATAAAGGACAAAAGGAACTATGCCGTCGTCCCTGGCTTTACATGCTTAGGAATTCTAGGGGCATGTGTCTTAGGTGCTGGAAAAAAATTGGCGCAAAGATTGTGTCCCTTTCCCATCTCTCTGACATTGTGGACCCCAGTGCTAAGCTCAGTGCTGACCATCAGAGCGAGGATTTGAACCAGGAGGTCCTCCTCAACACTCTGAAGGATTGTCTTGGGCAGTGATGGCGAACCTATGACACGCGTGTCAGAGGTGACACACGAACTCATTTTTTTGGTTGATTTTTCTTTGTTAAATATATAAAATGGCATTTAAATATATAAAATAAATATCAAAAATATAAGTCTTTGTTTTACTATGGTTGCAAATATCAAAAAATTTCTATATGTGACATGGCACCAGAGTTAAGTTAGGGTTTTTCAAAATGCTGGCATGCCGAGCTAAAAGGTTCGCCATCACTGGTCTTGGGTGAACTTCATTTAGGCTTTAAAGCCTTGACTACATGAAAGTGCACTTGCTATAGAAGTGGTGTGTTCTTGTTGTTTTTTAAGATAATGTCCACTGTATTTTCAAATCTGTTACATACTAACTCCTGTGTGAGACCTTTTACTTTCTCTGGGAGAAAAGTAATAAGTATGTTTTCCATCTTGTAAGAGTGAGAACTATATCACATTGGCCACCAGGAAGCTCTGAAATTTCCAACTATAATGTCAGCTCTCATATCTATTGTAATCACTAAAATATCTCTATGAGATTTGATGGCCTGTGTACATCTTTTGTTTTATCTTGTTTGTCATGACATTGTAATGCACTTCTGTTTTCCCAGCTCCATTTTCTTTCCTGTCTGACCATTTTGTTGTAGGTATTTCTGATAAGTTATCTCAAAATCTTAAAGAATGATGTCTCATGTAAATAAATAAGCAAAAATAAAGTATGAGGAACTAATCATAGAGGTACCATTTATATCATTGACAAAATGGGAAGCTTTGAAAAATAACGAATCTGAGGTTTTTTGTCTTTAAGGAAATAGAAAATCACCTCGACAAGGACACAGAAGGCTACGACGTGGTGCTGGATGCCATAGACACGATGCAGCGCGTCGCCTGGCACATCAACGACATGAAGCGGAAACATGAGCACGCAGTCCGGTTACAGGTGAGCCCTCGAGAGGGAGGTGCTGCAGGTGCGCTGACTTCTCATCGTTTTCTCAATCAGATATTAAGGCTGCTCACGTATTGCCCATCATTCATGGTCTTCATCGGAGTTCTTCCTGAAGAAAGATCGGGACACCGATAATGCTGATCATTGTGTATTTAGGAGGAAGTCCCTTGGGAACTTTTAGATTAATAGTCTGCTTATAGCCCCTTCCATGATCTAAGTGAAAAATTTGAGTCTCCTGAGGCCTTATCTTATGTTCATTACCAAGAAATAATTCTAGTTGAAAGCACCTTTCTCCAAGCTGTTAAAGGAGTTTGCAACTTCTGTTCCTCTGTCACTAGTTCATGCAGAGCCCTGAGGTGGTGTGTGTGGTATTGGGACAGGGGACTGAGGGCAAAGTCTGGAGCCAGGTCCTTTGCAATTTCATTTGGGATGAGACCCATGGCTTTACCTTAGATTCCTCATTTTTATAAATGAGACAGACGAGCGTTTGCTAAGGTTCCTTCCAGCACCAAAATGTTGAGCCCCGAACCCCTGAAAACTTTTAATAGGTGCTAAGCCAGTGGTCACATCCTGGATACCTCAAAAGATGTCCTATTTTTAAAAAGAAGGTCGTGTGGGCCCAGAGGGAATCTCAGGCTCTGGGGCATCCCGGGATGAGGCATAAAAGCCCAGAGCGGCTCCATGTTCTCGGCACACCTGTGCCGGACTCAGGAAAATAAAATACATTATTTAGCCCATAAGTCTGAACAGAATTCTAGGTTTCATCGATAGGCAGCCAGAGTGTGGTGTGTGCAACTATCAAAAATGAAAGGAAGGCGAGAGCCTAAGCCTCCAGGCCCTGTCTGGCTTTTGTGGCAGTAAGAAAGGCTTAATGCTTCGTCATTCAGATGTTTTGTGGACGTAATGTCAGGCATAACATCTATTGTGTTTCCCAAAATGGTTAAATGACTGGTTCTCCGTGGCTTATGAATCTGTTTGGCATTCTGAAGACACTGCTACTCAGTCTCTGGCTCAGTCTCACCTCCATTCCTCTCCATTTCCACTTTCCCCCAAAGACGTTCCGGGTGCCTTGTGTGCTGCTTAATTAGATGCTGCTGTGGACATTTTCATCTTTCAAAGTAATAAAATCAACTTCATTAAAAAAGATTGATAAGGATGTACAGTAAATCCCAAATAAATGTCAACGTCATGTTGTCAGTTTATATTCAGCAAGTTCCATTCAAAACAAAGAGACGAAGAAATGTTCATTTTCTTTCCCCAAGTAAATGGGATGAATACCAGGAAGTTTCTGAGAAGATGGGACCTGTATGATTTTCCCACAGACTTTACTTTTGAGTTTCTGATATGTGGTAGGGTCTCCCGTTTCTGGGAGAGGATTTCCAGGTCAATAGCTCAGAGAATGGGGGGTGTGAACATCAGGGAGGGATGCCTATCTGAGAAGGTCTCATACCAACGGCTCTTTACGTAGCTTCTGAAAGACATAACTGCTGCCACCAGCCATAGAAGGGGGGTATCTAGGAATGGAGATAACTAATTGGCAAGTCATCAACTAACAACTTGATTCATTTCTGCTAACCCTTAAGTGACACCACCCGTAAACATAGACTCATGTCATGGATCATTACCCACTGTTAGACGCAACATAGATATTTAGATGCCATTCTCAAGGCTCAAGAAATGGGCCACCGTGCCCTCGCTGCCTTGCCTGCCCACCTCCTGTTTAATCACGTGGGACATTGACCTTTTTGCAGGAGATACAGAGTTTGCTCACTAACTGGAAGGGGCCAGACCTAACCAGCTACGGAGAACTGGTGCTCGAAGGAACCTTCCGCATCCAGCGAGCCAAGAACGAAAGGACCCTCTTCCTCTTTGACAAGCTGCTTCTCATCACGAAGAAGAGAGACGACACGTTTACGTACAAAGCTCACATCCCGGTAGGTCTGCATGTGGGTCACGGGCAAGGACCTGAGTGGCTGGCCCGTTCTGTTCCACGTGTGCTCACCCGTCTCGCTCTCCCGCTCAGTGTGGCAACCTCATGCTTGTGGAAGTGATCCCCAAGGAGCCGCTCAGCTTCAGCGTCTTCCACTACAAGAACCCCAAGCTGCAGCACACCGTCCAGGTACAGCAGCACCCTCCCCTCCCTGCCAGGCCCGCCCTCACCCTGGGTGCCCTGCGAGAGGCAGCCCTTCTCTGGCCTCTGGCCACGGGGTGTGTTTTGCATCTTGTCGGAGGGTGAGAGGAGGGTCTGAGTCTGGTCTGTGGTGGCGGTGGGAGTTGTCTGACTGCCCCAACCTCCTTCCGTAGGCCAAGTCGCAGCAGGACAAACGGCTGTGGGTTCTGCACCTGAAGAGACTGATCCTGGAGAATCACGCGGCCAAGATCCCAGCAAAGGTGAGACAATGAGGCCAACAAACAGTAAGACGTAAAGATGTTCAGGTCCTGGGCGGTGGCGGGGGGCGGGGGGGCAGCCCCAGGAGTGAACTTCAACTGCAAAGTAAACAAGAGTGAGAGCAGGGATCCACCAGGGACCAGCTGAGCCAGCCATTTATTCTGAGAGGACTCGCATGTAGGGACACTGTGGAGAAATTTGGTTTCGTTTTTTAAAATGATGTTGTTTTCCTTTTGGACGTGAAAGAAGAAAAATACAGAGGAGACTATAAGTACATTTCTAGAGAGCGAGTAAACACTAAAGAGAGCTATGAGGATGAATCAAAGTGCACGAAGCACCTACAGTGACTAAAGCTGGCTCCGGTTCTGTGGGAAGGTGAGGGGACCCAGGCCCAGACGTGGCCATGAAGGGGTCTGCAGACGAGGGAGCTAGCCCTGAATTATGTAACTGTTTGCTAAACATGATGCATTAATGAAGGTATAAGCCAAGTGTTGTGGGAGGGTAAAGTGTTGTATTACAGTTGAGTTGGGAAGGAAAGTGCCTTTCAGAATCTTGAAGAATGAGGAATATTTTTATTAAGTGAGGGAAATGGAAAAGGAAAACCAAGCCGAGGGAACAGCATACACAAAACAGAGATGCCTCGGTGGAGGGGCTGAGTCCCAAGAAGATGGAGTTGGAGGTGAGGCTGGAGAAGTGGAAGGCAGACAACTGGGCAATAAAGGGCTTCGACCTCACCCAGTAGGAGTCTGGATTGTATTGGTGACGGTTTGGGAAGAAGGGCATGGCATGGGTTGCCCCATGTCCTCAGAGTGTAACTTCAGGAACAGTGTGGCAATGAGTGGGAGGAGTGAGACTAGAGACAGGAGAGGAATTAACAAGCCACCACAATAGTCTAGAAAACAGATCAGGGGCACTGCCAGGGAGCCACAGCATATGAGGGGATGCAAAAACCCACTGTGGAGGCAGAGAGCATAGGATTCTGCCCACCAAGCATGAGGAGAGGGAGAACTAGAAGTCAAGGATGAGTAAGGAGTTGGGCCAGGAGGATGGTGTTGTGAGCTCCAGGATAGACTGTGAATGGGAGGAACGGGTTGGATGGGAGCGAGCTGGCTGAGCGCTGATACATGTGCAGGGGCAGGTCAGCTGCAGGTGGCAATTCAGGTCTTGGAAGCTGCAGATCGGGAGGCTCTCTCCACCCAGACAATAACTGAAGCCCTGAGAGTTGATAGAAGGGTCCATGATAGGAAGGCCCATCAAAATGTGGAAAGGAAGAAGAACGCTTGGGAATCCCAACAACTAAGGGATCTGCAGTGGGGTGGGGGGTGTAGAGAACATCAAAGGAAGAGTAGCGATGAGGTAGTAGGAAACCTGGAGGGAAAAGGTGAGGTAACGAAGGAAGGAAAGAATCTCAAAGAGAGGGAGCTGAGTGACAGCCTCAGATGCTGCTGAGGTCAAAACAGTCCAACAGAAACGTAGATATCAGATTCGTTCACTAAGAGACCAAGGCGAGGCTGGAGTGGGCTGAAGAGAAAGGGGAGCGAAAGGAACAGACTGAGTAGGCTTTTCTTTTTTAAAACAGAGTTCAGAAAAGACAAAAGCTGGTAGTTTGAGGAAAGGTGAGATCAAAGCAAGACACTGTTTGTAGGTGAAGAATGCCCTGGACATAAGTAAACAGAGGGGAAGAAGATGGGGTAACAGGAGATGGGAAAATAATGGATCCTCTCGGAATGTGACCCTGGGAGGTGGCAGGGTGGGATCAAAAGCTCAGGGCTGGGGGTCAGTTTTGGAAACAGTCAGAAGCACCTTCCCGGGCTGAGCGAGAAGAAAGATGAAAAGAATAGAGAAGCTTTGAGGTGGATTTGAGGGAAGGTCGAGGGTTTGATTTCACTGAAGTTGGGGGTCATGTCACTTACTGGGTGAGTGAAGCAAAGATGGAGTCGGTGGCTGAGCGAAAGTGGGAAGGTGCAGAACTCTCGCCCAACACGGTAACCTGGGAAAGGCGTCTGAGAACCGCCGGAAGTTGGCCACCATGGATCAGTGCGATGAGCTCATTTCAGATGACTCAGAAACTAGTGTTGAGGCACCACGGCGCACGTGGGTTCCCCAGGGATGGGAACTGGTGACAGGGAAGGTTAACAGGGCAGGAAGGCGGGGTGCTCGTCAGCACCGATGCAGTGATCCAACAGGATTTGCAGGCTGAGCAGACAGTGAAATTAACTGGGAAAATAGACCGGGGTTGAAGGAGCCCTGGCCTTGTAAAGTGAGAGAACAGGTTCAGCAGGGTGACAGGTGGGGAGACGGAAATGCGGAGATAGATGTGTAGTTGAAGAAGGGCCCTTTGGAGGCCTGCCTTGGAGGCAGGGCAGGTCGGGGCGGCCGTAGGTTCTGGGGGCAGCTCCGATTGTGTGTTGCTGTTCTGTGGAGGAAAAGGTTATCGGGGATCATGTGGTGAGGAACTAGGAGGAGGATTATCCACGTGGATGGTGAGATGGTCCGTGCTGGGGCGGGGAGGAGTGAAGTGGGGCAGAAAATGGGGTGATGATCACAAGGGTAGAACTGGGCGGGGAATAAGTAGAAATGAGATTTCTCAGAAAGGAGAGACCTGTTTTGCTCTTTGTGTCGTTTGAAAAGCCTCTGCAGCCCCGCTCAGGGGCTGTCAGCAGTGATTATGTGCCCAGGAAATGAGTGTGCGGAGGTGTGTGCCTTGAGGCATGAGTCTCATTTCAGCAGGTGTTCCGAGATGTCAGGGAGCTCATGCGGACAGGTGACTGCATTCTCCTCGTGGGTAGTCATTTGGTTGCTGGCCAGTGCCTTGCAATGAATGTGCTCTGAGCAATGGCAGTGGCTTTGATAGGCCCCACCTATTGTCTACCTGTCCACTGGGAATTCACACCTACCGAAGGGATTCCGAAGGGCAATTACAGGCCATTACAAAACAAGACTAACGCACGTACCTGTCCTCTCTCTCCCACGCTAGGCGTGTATAGTCCAGGCAGTTTTCCCTTTATGTGTTAAAATGGTCACAATAGAATTGTACTTGTTTACCCAACTTCCTGGTCCTTTTAGAATCTCATTCGGTTTCAGCTACACCTTCTTGAGCACGCACACACTATGCTAAGTACTTAATACTCTTATTTCACCCCACACAAAACTCCTTCTGAGAAGGACCTATTCTCCCCCTTCCAGAGAAATAAAAACAGGCTCAGAGACTTGACACAAATTGCCAAGTTGATGCAGCTAATACATGACCGAGCCCAGGGTCAAACCCAGGGCTGTCTGGCCCCACAGAGCAAGTCTTCACCGCATTGTTCCCAAGGGATGGAAATGGAAACACACTTATTTGATGTACTTTATCCACCATAGTGTTCTAATAATTTTTCTGTTTTAATTTAAGCAGATAGTTAACTTGAACTTTCACTTCTTTCCTTGACTATTTCTCAATCTTTTCCTTAAAGCTATCAAAATATATTTATTCCTATTAAATCAAAGAAATGTATAATAGGGAATTTTTTAAACATCAAAAAATGTACCACCGGTCTAATAATATTAGCACAGCTGTTGGAAATTCATTCGTTCCTGTCAACCTCCTTCCTGTCCTTTAGTTCAGTGATGGTCCCTGGCTGACTCCTAGTGGACAATGTGGGAATAACACTTTTTGAAATTAAATGTTAAGGGAGGGGTGGGGGGGGGCGGAGATAAAAGAGCAGTGTTATAAAAATCCAAACATTTGTTTTCTCAAAGTTATGGTGACTGCATCGAGGCTTCTTTCTTACCCCTTTGGTTAAACAAAATGATTGCCACTTGGTCTACACATTTTTACTGTGATATCACAGATGGTGGAAGAATACAACAAAATAATTTTTAAATTATTTTTAATGTAATGTTTGTAGGTTCAGTTACACTACCCTTGAAAAATGAAAATTACTTTAAAGCAAGAAAGGCTACCCAGCCTATTTTTTTTTTCATTTTTGAATCCTCAAGAAAAATTATTCTTGTTAGTGTAGTTGTCATATCTTTTTATATTCCCCTAAACATTAATAACATGTGGCAACAATAACAATTTTTAAAAGCCTTAAGGGAAGGCTGAGGTTGAGCTGGGGAAGTATGCGTGGAGGAAGTGAAGGCCAAGGTTATGAGGCCCTTTCCCTGGGGAGGTGGGAGTAACTAACTTGGGTTGAGTGCCTACCATTTGGTCCTAGTAGTGATTCTGGAAGGTCGGTCTTGTTACCATCTTTCAGCTGAGGAAACACATTCAGAGATGTGAGAGCACCCACATGTAGTGCCAGAGTGGGGATCACAGCGCCGTCCTTCAGAGCCCTTCCCCCCACCCCAGCTCTGTTCCCCTCACCCCCACCCCGAGATTCTAGGCATACACAAAAGATGGTGGATGCAGGGTGCTGTAGGGAGCCAGGAGATGGAAGAAGGAAAGCAGAAAACCTCCAGCAATCTGTTTTGCAACCAACTCAGAACAGTTGAGTGGTATGGGGAGGGCCGGTTGTGCAGATCCTGGGCTATCCCTTGGGCTTTTGGGTCAGTAGGCCTGGGTTGAGTTCAGTAGGTCAAGGCTGGGTAGCAGGAATCTGCATTTTATAATACGCTGACCAACAGATACTAATGATGAGCCAGGTTTTGGAAATGTTTGGTGAAATGTTTCCCTTTTTCTTCTCTCACCTCTCATCTCCTCCCCCCCCCCCCCCCGGCCCCCAAACCCTTTTTTTCTCCCCTTCTTTTTCTTTCCTCCCCCCTTCCTATGTGTCCCCCCCCCCCTCTCTCCCCCCCCCCCCATTTTTTTTATGAGGGGGAGGTCGGGGTTTAACCATGGTGTCGGACGGAGGAAAAAATCCCCCCCCCGCGGGGGAGGCAACGGTGGGGCACCCCCCCCCATTGTGGAAGCGCGGAAAAAAAAAAAAAAAATTTCTTTCTAAATGGTTTTTTTAAAAAAATATCTCTTTGGGGGGAGGACCACGGGTAAGAGTTGAGGGTTAGTTGAAAGACCACACAAACCGAGTGAAATTATGGTATAGTTTTTTTTTCTTTTTGGGAGAGGAGATCAAAGCAAAAAAAAGGAAATCCAACAGAAAACTACATTTTCTTCACCGAACATAAAAAGAAATATATTTTTT